TGGGTGATAATAAAATGGTAATTCCGCCCACGCTTTCGGTATCGGTATCGGTATAGGTATATATAAGTGGGGATGAAGCAGGTTACCCCATCGTGATGAATTCAACAAGAATTGTTCATGATGGTTTCCAGGAGGAACCACGTGGAGGTCGACCTAATAGGGCATATTGCTAGCAATGGTGTGAATAAGGGGGGTTAGTTATTGTCTGTTTTCTTTCTTGTTCTCTATTCGTATAAAAAAAAAACTGATTTATTTGTCACAAATTTAATATAGAAGAAACAAATAGTCAAAATCAGTTCAGAACTTATCGCGTAACATATATACAAATAGAATATCAACGAACAAACTTCTTTTAAAAGTCGTTTAAACTTATGAAGCAATAAGTGCTCATAGAATACCAGTCCGTCCCGCCCCTGTTTTTAAATAGCTAAAAAACAAACTCGGAATGGATCCGCGTAATTCCTAAATATTTACGTATATATTAAATCAATATCTATTTGTACACGCAATATGGGTTTTTATCATTCATGTGCTCATGATTTATATCATATTTATATTTAAAATGATTAATTCATAATATTTGATCACGGAGCTCGGTAACAGATATATTTATTTAGCGACTTTTTACAGCTAACTCTCAATTAGTGATCTTATAAAAAGTTTCTCTTAAAATAGTTTTTTAGCGGAAGTTACAACACTAGCCGTTAGTTTTTTTTTTTTTTTTTATTGCCAGTAATATGAACTTTTGATTGAGTAACTGTATTTTTTAATGGGTGATAATGGAATGATAACCCCGCCTGCGCTATCGGGATACGCCGGCGGGGCACCAGTGAGGGATGACAGGTGAGGTTGAAAAGGCAGGTCAGTTAGCCCATCGTGACGAATTCCACTTGAATCAATCACGACGGTTTCCAGGGGGAACCGCGTGGAGGTCGAGCTGATAAGGTGTATTGCTAGCAATGGGTCAATTAGACCCCATTACTAACAATCCCTTTCCCCCTAACTCCATTATTACTGTATAGATATTAAGATTTAACCGGTACGTTCAGATCTTAGGTTCGATGCTTAATCACTCGTGAGGTAGCATCGGAATGTTAAATTTTAAACATATTTAAAAAAAGAAAAAAATATATATTTTATATTTATAATAAAAAAAAAAACTATTTATTGCATGGAGGTGTGGCTAACTGGTTTCCTGATTAGCTATTCGGTTATTCAAATTTATTTTGTTGCATTTTTTCCTACTTATAATACTTATAATTTATTCGAAAATCCTTTTTCGAATAAATTATAAGTATTTAAACATCTCCCATTCCATTTTCAAATCACTCTTATAATGTCCCCGCGTTCTATATTTAAATTCGCATCGAGTTTTTAATCTTCTTTTTTAACATCGACAGCTATCGATACGGAATGGTCGCCTCCCTGCGATTACATAATCAAAGGCAAGCGAGACTCATCTCAATGTGTGAAAACATGTTTCGGCTCCGAATTCCAACCTACACTTATACAATATAATAATATGTGTCGATATATCAGTATGACATTTAAAAATATTTATTTCTATGTTGATTCCTTAACAATTAACCTCCTGTTGACTGTAAAACTCTCCCCATAAGAAAGCCATAACCTGTAACTGTATAACGGTATTATTACGCCTCCGCTATCAGGATACACTCACCAAAGTCGCAATATAGAGACTTTGTACAAAAATCCTTTGCTTGGGTACCTCTGTCCCATTCGTGTTTCTACCGTGAAGCAGTTGTGTTTGCATGGCTGTGTTTCGGTTTGAAAAGTGGGATATGGCAGTGAATTTACAGGGTACAGTGGGATAACACCTGAGTCCTCAGGAATGGCAACGCATGGGGGGTATCAGAGGCGAAACAGTGTACTCTGTTATGTCCATGGTACTGTTCATATCTACAGGTGATGGTTACCACTTTCCATAAAGTGCGCCGTCAGCTTGTTTGCAATTCTAAGTTGCATAAAAAAAAATACACATAGTAATTCAAGTAGGTCGAACCCAAGACATTGTCGGTTCACTGAACCACTTGGATCCTCTCCGTGAGATATTGTGTGGAGATACAACAAAGTCAAACGCCAAATTCGGTTGGTAACATTGAGTCAAACAGACGTCTTCATAATAGGTCATGGAGTGGGCGGGCGCCATTAACAGAATTAAGTGAGTTTATTTAGACGCGAGATTATTTATATACCTATGATAATAGTAATTATTGAGCTACCATATTCCGTGGCATTTAGAAAATTAATGGGAAATATTTTTTGTTGGACATTATATATAATAATACGCCAGTTTTGACGACATTTGTTGTTTTAGTCTAAAACAAGAATTGACCGGGGAAAAATGCGAAAGCACATTTCTTTCTTGTATAATATTTTTTTTTATACAACTTAGAATGTCAAACAAGCTGACGGCCCACCTGATGGAAAGTGGTAACCGTCGCCTATAGACATGAGCAGTACCATGGACATAACAAAGTAAACTGTTTCGTATAATCAAGTTAAATCATCTATCTATCTATCCTATTTAAGAGCTGCGCTCTTGTCGGTGGAGCTCTCGCCACTCGCTACGATTGTCAGCGACCCTCTTCACCTCTTGATACGACACGACACCAACTCCTTCCTTGATCTGCCTTTTGTAACTATGTCTCGGTCTCCCTCTCCCCTCCTTCCTTCTATCTTACCTTCTATTATAGTGTTCATAAGTTCGTCGTGTCGTATCAAGTGTCCCAACATTAAGTGTTAAATCATAACAAAAAAAAAAAATAGTGGCGACTAATAGCGACTGCTCGTCGTCATAATTAACAATGCTATTTAACCTCCTTGAACGAAGTACAATAGCCTTATAAAATTTAGGATACCTGAATAGGATAAGCGTAGGTATTACAAGGTTAAACGAAAGTCGCTTGTGGGTGGATGTAGGACTTGCAAACTACTCACTGGAACATACAATTCATGACATTAATCATTATAAGGTATTTATGCTACAATATAAATATTTATATATATTTATATCAGGGGTGTTCTTCTCTAGAAATCTGTCCGATTCTAGAATAAGCGCATACGGGTATGCGACCCCGGCCTCCCGAGCCCCTGCAGTGTCCCCCTTTCCTTTCCCACATAACTGCCTCATTCCTCTCATTTACTAATTTCCTTTACGCATTTCCAACGTTCCCTTCCTTTTTTCCTCAATCCTTTCCTCCAAACCGTAGGTGGCGGAAACCACCAACAAATGTACTCCCAAAGAGGGTTGATGTCTGGCAGGTGGGCGGTCGTAAAACTAAAAGCCAAATCATTTAGAAATATGGATAAAACCATATTACGCCGACCGCAAATAATCCCGCCGACCACGTGGAGGTTGACCTTAATGGGCATATTGCTAGCAATGGGACTGATATTACGCATTACTAACAATCCCTTCCCCCCATTTAAAGAGGGTTTGAAAAAAATGTGCTTACAACTATAATGTGTAATGGGGTAAAGAGAGGCATTTGTCGAATGCAAAATTAAGAAGCAAATGTTGAGTACCATGTCTCCTTTAATTCTGATGTGAATTAAAAAAAAAAAATACGACACGATCTTACAAATGACAGTCCATCTTGTCAAACGAAACAATTTTATAACTGGACAGTGAATTTTTTATTAAAAAAAGACCTTAATTAAAAGGTTGTAGGTAAAAAATTGTTTAACGACTTTTTTGCAACTAGAATATTAGTACCAATAAATTTTAAATGTAAACACCTCAATTTAAAAACGTTAAAATGTAACACCAAACGATTTTATACCTTAAGTCTTTATGAATAAATCACATCAACATTTTGCGTGCAATTCTTTCAAATAATTCAACCTTGAATTTTTAATCGATATTTTTATTTTCTTTGTTCTATTTTTGATTATTTCGCTAAAGTTTTAGTAGCTAAACGTGTAACCTTTTCAATAATTTAAATAAAATTTAAAATAGTCATCATATACTATGTTAAATTAGCCGTGTGGTCCCGGCATAGAATAGCCCATCCCTTCCTATCCCGTGGGCGTCGTAAGAATCGATTAAAGGAGGACGAGGGATGGGCAGCAGCGTTCCTCTTAAAACATCTCTAAAGCCTATATATATATATATATATATATATATATATATATATATATATATATATATATATATATATATATATGTAATAATCAACATCATATGCTACTAAGATCCTTATCATCACTTACCATAAAGTAAGCTAAGGATTAAGCGCAAACTGATCTTAGTAAATATAACCCACAGCTTCGGATAACCAGTAGCCTAACCGCATCACCAGTGTACCGCTCTCGGTCATGCTAATTAACCGTTTCTCATTTCCTGTGACACATGGCAATGACATTTTGTGAAGTAATCAAGCAATACTAGACGTTTGTTTGATTTATTAATTAGTTATTTTACCGGCTTTTTTGGAATGCAAATTAAAATATATACATATATATGTATATAGGGCTTGGTTATTTATAATATTATAATATTCTTCATTTCCTGTGTCATTTATAAATTATTAATAACAATGATGGGATATTTATTTATTTTTATGTTGGTACCTCTGGAATAAAGTGAAACAATTTAAAAAAAAAATTATCACAAATTGAAAACTGTAACTATAATGTCTTAATCATTGTCTATTGCTGAACATAAGCCCCCCCCCCCTTTGGGAAGTTTCGCCAGTAGTTGCCAGACTTGGCAGGCGGATTGGCAACCGCGGTCAAGCTTTAGACATGTTTTAAGAGGAACGCTGCTGTCCATCTCTCACCCTCCCTTAATCTCTTTTTATGATATCCACGGGAAAGGAAGGGGTGGCCTATTTTATATTCTTTATTTCTGTCTATATTCTATTATGTAAATATTACTATGCCTATACTACTTGTCAATGATGTGATATTACAGTTTAAGATTTAGTACATTTAAATAACTGCATAATTAACATAATAACTGTTGATTGTTACAGAACCATGAAGCCACTACACACAGTGGTGGCAATATGCCTCCTCATAACAGTCACTGCCCTCCCAGAGAACATCGAGGATGTAAAAGAACTGCCACAGAGTAAAGAACCCATAGTGGAAGCAGAAGAAAGCGAAACGAGTCCGAGGAAAGAGCGGTGCAGCTCTTGCGCCACCAAATTCAACGTTAAATCCCCAAATGATGTTCTCGCAGCCATTCAAGCGCTTCCAGGCGCTGAAGTACACACTCAACAGTCATTTGAAGGCTGTTCCAGCGATAAAGGCTGCGCTGGAATTAAAGTCAAAGATGGCAGAGTCATTGAAAGGTTTGGAAACGTAGATGCCTTCCGTGCGGCCGCTGCGGCGGATACAGCCAACGAATTCAACTTCCACGCAGCAGGTACCTTCGGAAATAACGTATTCGAAGGCGGTCTACCTGGCAACGGCCCGTTCTGGTGGATGAACCAAGATTCGCCTTTCAAGAGCGGCGACAGCGGTGGAAACTTTGAAAAGTTCAGCAAGTCTAGCTCTAGTTCCTTTTCGAGCAGCGGAAGCACCGGTGCTGGTGGAATAGATATATCAGCAAATCCCTTCTTAAACGGAGGTTTTGTAGCGGGAGCTGCTGGTGGAGCTCAAGGCGGCAAACCAGCTAGTGCATTCGAATCATCATCCTTTGAATCATCTTCTTTCAGCAGCAAAGGAAACATTGATTTATCAAAAAATCCATTCTTAAATGGTGGCGTAAAACTCGGACAGGGTGGTTTTCAAGCTCAAGGTGGATTCGGGTCTTCGCAAGGATCTAGTCAATTTGGTTCCCAATCTAGTGGTTTTGGTGCAACTGGTCAAAGCGCTAGTTTTGGAGCCGGATCTCAAAGTGCAGGATTTGGAGCCGGATCTCAAACTACAGGATTTGGAGCCGGATCCCAAACTGCAGGATTTGGAGCTGGATCTCAAACTGCCGGATTCGGAGCTGGATCTCAAAGTTCAGGATCTGCTACTGGATCTCAGAGTGGTTATGGTGCAAGCTCTCAGGGTTCAGGATTAAACGCTCAAGGCGCCTTCAATTCAGGTTCTCAAAGTGGATCTTCATTCCAAAGCTCAAGCTCTGGCTTCCAGAGCTTTGGTGCTGGGCAAACCACAGGTTCCAGCCAAGGCGCGTCCAGCCAGGGTGGATATAACAGTGGTTCTTTCTCTGGTAACAAATTCGCTGGCAGCGGCTTTGTAGGGTCCTCTCCTAGGCCCTTCACCGCCTCCACTCCCGGTGCAGGAATTAACCTCATCCAAAATACCCAGAAGACTAGTGAATTCGACTACAGCCAAAGCGTTAACATCGATGAGAGCTCGAGAGGAACCACCGGAGTCAGCTCGGGCGGTGCTTTGCAGCAGACCTGTTCAGGACAAGGATATGTGTGTGTCCACAAAGCCCAGTGCAACAATGGTGTTGTGAACTCAAATGGTGCCGCAGTGCTGCAAGCCAATTCACAGGTAAGAATTTTGCTAAATTCAATCATTTCTAGAGAATATTAGGCAAAAATTTATTAAAATGAAATCTTAATATATATAAAAATTAGCAAATCACGATATTCGTTCACTCTAATCTCCGAAACTGCTCAAGTACAATAATTTTGATGTAATTTTGCAAATATGTATTATTTTGTGCAACATAAGAGATAGGACAGTTTTTAGGTTATATTCGCACTGCGATATCGAGCACGGTTCATGCTCAGCATGATTTCAATGGTTTAAAATTATTATTATTATTATATCAGTTGTCAACTGGACTTGGCCTTCCCCAGGGTCGAGGTTTTGTTGAAGTTTCCATGCTTGATAGGCGGATTGTCAACTGCAATTAGACTTTGGTGATACGGGAAGCTATTGCTCATTTCTCGACCATTAAATTCCGTTTGTCGCCTCTTACAATATCCACGGAAAAGATAGGACAGAGGAAAATAATATCACGTTCATATTTATATATATAATAACAAATCTTTAAAAGGTTCATATAATCCTTAATAATATCTAGTAATGTTTGGGCTAATAATATAAAATGAAAAGGGTTTGTTTGTTCATTTGTATTAATGGCAAACAAGCTGACGACACACCTGATGGAATGTGTTAACCGTCACCTATAGACATGAGCAGTACCACGGGCATAACAGAGTATACTGTTTCGCCCATGATACCCCTTCATGCGTTGCCATTCCTTAAGACTCAGGTGTTATGTCTTTGTACTCTGTATTCACTGCCATATCCCACCTTTCAAACTGAAACACAGCCATGCAAACACAATGGCTTCATAGTAGAAACACGAATGGGACAGAGTGCCTAAAATCTTCTTCTGGTAAAGAATAAAATCATATTGTAATTAAATATTATGTAGAATAATTAAAAATATTACATGACGAAATCCACATCCGAGACTCTAAACGACATTGGCAGTTTGACGCAATAATCCGCTATCAATGGAATCGAATCTTGGACCAGTATTGTCATAGTTCAGTGGGGTCAATAATTAAATTTTGTAACACAACGCACGATGAAAAAGCTATTTCATTCCTCTATCACGTCAGAGTCCATCTTTTAATAAAGGTCATAGACGCTTGACATTCTTTTTGTGTCATAATCAAAACTCAGTTACGCGCTGATGTGTCGAACGTCCATCAGATTTAGCAATGTACCTTTTTATCATTACGAATAATTAGATATTTAATTTTAAATGAGACTAACAATAGAACCTACGCTTCAGTTATGGGTTATATAAAATATTAGATTTAGTTTTTTTTTTTTTTTAATATGAATAAAAACATATTACGTCAACCACAAATAACTGGGATAAAAGCAGGAATAGGAATAATCCTACCAAGAATCTTGCTTTTATTATCTGCTCTTTGAGCTATATGGCTGGTCTATTGCTACTTCTACTTACTGTTACTTTGTTGTATCAATTGTTACCTGTCCACTGCTGAACATAAGCCTCCCCTTGAGGGGTTTTACAAGTAGTTTTTGTCCAGTAGGCTTTGGAGATGTTTTATGAGGGACGCTGCTGTTCATACCTCCCCCCTCCCCCCCCCCCTTAATTGCCTCTTACCATAGCCACGAGAAAGAAAGGGATGGCCTATTCTATGCCAGGACCACACGGCCATCAACTTATTCTTACTTTATTGGACTATTTTTATTATTATAAAAGGGCCTAGAACCTACAATAGACATCAATAATATATATCATATATAATGGGTATCAATAAAATGTGCAACAAATTTAAAATGAAAAATAAATATTGCTTACGTTCATTATGGCTGCATATGCATGTTTCTTTTACCTAAACTAACAATAAACATTAAAAGTATAGTTAGATTTATGATTCCATAATTAAATGTCAACAACTTTAAAGAACGGAAAGCATAAAAACGAAATTATTTTGAACACCAAGCCCAGCTGTTTTTAATTTATGGAAATATGTTGTATTTTATTATTTAAAGGATGCATAAAGTCATAATAAAATGTCAAGGATAACATTAAAATTCCCAAGTTAGTTATGAACCAGGATATATGTGATGCAGGAACAAGTTTTTTTCACTTTTTCTCGTAAAGAAAGGTAACTTCTTTTTTTTAATTTAAACGTATTTATAATCTGTCGCATATTGTCTTTGAGTGATTATCATTTTGATTTTTTTTTCTCTGTAAGATAGATACTGTACTACATTCAAGTTACTTAGAAATAAAAAAAGTTTGCATGAAATCTGTGTCACTAGTTTAAGAATTTGAAAATTTTATACTACAAATTATCCAGGTCTTTTATAGAACCCATCAATTTCGATATTTTTAACAGAATCACAGTATAAATAGTTATATAACATTATAAATATTCATTTATTTTATTGCCTCAATGGTTGCATAGATTAATATTCTAATTTCATCCATATAAGGGTAGTGTCGACTCTTAAATAATAATCACTCTATATAATGCTCTATAATATGGCTGTTTGAAAACTGTTCCTTGGTCGACTTTTATAAATGTTTTTATTTTATTTTCTTGGCTTCATATACATACTTAGAAACTAGTCCTCCTTGACTCGTATACATATAGCCTACAGATGTAATCTCGTTAACAATAGTCGCATTATGTCATTTGTCGGACATTAAATAAATAATAGACATAATTATTATCTTGTTACCGTGATGTCAGTAATATTGACATTTTATGGTAAATACATAAATGCCTCAGTCGCCAACTGAACTGGTTCTATTGATTACCAAACTAAAAGTGCTAACCTGATCCCCCACATAATCCGAAGTGTTTCATATTTATGTTTGGATAATAAAATATTGTCACTTTATGAAATGAAGAGGGGAAAGAGGAGGCATACTGCCGGGCAAATTGCCCAGAACGGTACTCGTAAAATAGAAGACGACTTCTTGCGTTTTTAACCTCTGTCCCATTCGTGTTTTACCGTGAAGAAGTTGTGTTTGCATGGCTGTCTTTCGGTTTGAAGGGTGGGATATGGCGTGAATTTACAGGGTACAGAAGAATAACACCTGAGTCCTCAGGAATTGCAACGCATGGGGAGTATCATGGGCGAAACAGTATACTCTGTTATGTCAATGGTATTGCTCATATCTATAGGCGACGGTTACTACTTTCCATCAGGTGGACCGCCAGCTTGTTTACCATTCTAAGTTGTGTTTAATGTGTTTAAAGACATACAATTATGTATGAGTATACATTTTAAATTTAAAAATAGTTTTGCAAATAATTATAGCGAGATCTATACAGAGTAATCGATAAATAAATAAAACACAATATATGTATATATTTCAGTCTAAATATGTGATTTAAAATAATTAATTAAGACAATATGATGCTATCAAGATTCAAGATTTATTTATTTGTAAAACATGCGTATAAATACATGCACATGTTGACAATATGATATCGTTCGACATGTTTAGCCTGTACGCCATACAAACATATGTAGTTACGCAGATAGTTCACATTATACATCAAGTCCATTTTATACCATTAATCGTCATCACATTCCAATTTTAAATACTTTTAAATAAATAATAATTGTCAGGCAAAAATGTCGATTTTTTTGTCGAAAGAACGATGTCACAATGATGTTAATAAATTTAAATAAATATTCCTTTTGTCAAATTTTATCATTAAAGGATTCGCATACATTGTAATAACATTTATTGATTAAGAATTTGTTTTGTTTGGTTTTATACAACTTAGAATGGCAAACAAACTGACGGCCCATCTGATGGAAAGTGGTAACCGTCGCCTATAGACATGAGCAGTACCATGGACATAACAGAGTATACTGTTTCGCCCATGATACCCCCATGCATTGCCATTCCTGAGGACTCAGGTATTATTCCTCTATACCCAGTAAATTCACGCCATATCCCACCCTTCAAACCGAAACACAGCCATGCAAACACAACTGCTTCACGGTTGAAACACGAATGAGACAGAGGTGCTCAAGCAATCGAATTTGTACAAAGTCTCCCTCTGGTCTTTTTTAATTTATACTTAAATACATTAGTTGGTGCATCCTTTATAGATTTTGGTATTTTATTATAGATTTTTGGTGCCCTACATAATAAACTATCATGCATAAGTTTTGTACTATTGTATAAAAATATTACTCTGTAAGACTAGTTTCTACAGAGTAATATTTTAGGGCTATCCCTACAACGACCGAAGGGACATATTTATATTACACGTAATCGTAAGTTCCTTCAATTATGTACTTTATTCCTTACATTATAAAAGCCACTTTAGTAAACGCTGTCCCATTGCTGTTAAGCAATTTGCGTAAATAAAGTGCAAAATTAATGTCCGCACAATGAATATGAAGGTAGAGTCGGCAGCAATATTTTTTTTTTTTATATTATTTTATACTTACTGAAAATATCCTGAATTCTACAATAAAAGCGAAAATGTAAAACCTTATTTCGTACGACTAAAAAACAGGTTAGTACTTCTTGATTCTAAACTTGACCTGACTTATACCTGAAGAAGCCCTTAAAATTGTATATGTATGGTATAATATGGCTTGATAAGACCTACTCGAATATTAATAGTATGTATATATGTATATTCCATTATTTTTGTGATAGATAGATAGATATATAATTTATTTGCATTACTTACAGCACACAAGCTATAATATATACAGATATACACAAAAAAACGAGATAAGAGAAATGATTAAAATAAAATACATAAAAGCCAAGTAAATTTTTTCCTTTTACGCGTATGTTATAACAAAATATACAAAATATTCACAACTCAGTTTATTGCTTCGCCCTCAAAGGAGCGAATCACAGATAATTGAATGTTGTCGTAAATGGCTGAACAGATTTGAATGAATCTTAACATTCATATGAATGGATGTAGAATATTGATTTTAGTAATTCAAAGATTTTAGTAAAACCCGTGACTCCGTCTGTGTCACCGGATTTTTTTATTAGCCGA